TGTTTATGGATTATCTTTAAGGCAAATGAGACTTTAAAGAAGCTGTGTCTTTCCAGGCAGAATGCTTTCATCTCAGAAAAAAAGACATTTGATTAAAGAAGTTAAACAAAACCCACAATGCACATGGAGTTTCTTCTTTATCCAGATTGCTTTATAGTCCTAGATTTCAGATCACTAGTTTCTTATTTGCCCATCTCTTGTTTTTGTCTTTGGATACTTTCAATTTTCTCTGTCGCATTTTGATTCAATTTAAAATTTAACTCATTCTTATGTTCGCACACAAAAATGGCTAACCATGGCCATGTTGTGGGGGTAGGGGGCTGGATGAATGTGGTTTTCAATCAATGTTTAGCTCCTGGTGGCTGCCTGGACACATTTTAGCAGATCTCCTGGCAAGATTTCACAGATGGCTTGCCATTGCCTTTTTTTCTAGGACTGAGAAGGAATGACTGGTCCAAGGTCACACAGCTGACTTTGTGAGGGCAAACATTAACCTAGGACAGGGGTGTCAAACTCAAGGCCTGGGGGCCAGATCTGGCCCACAGGATGCTTAGATCTGGCCTGTGGGACTGCCTTGGAAATAGAGAAGGACCAGCCCACAGTGCCTCTGCCAGCAAAAATGGAGCTCACAGGGGCCATCCATCCGTCCCTCATTCCCCCCCCCCCCGAGTTCCATTTTTCCTGGCAGAACATTGCAGGAAGACATCCCAACTGAAAATGGAGCTCATGAGGGCTGTTCTCTGGCAGAGTTCTTGGGCCACCACAGGCTTCCCCTGGCACAAGTGACTTCATGCTAGCCACATCCACCCTGGCCACACACCCTGCCCCCCCCCAAGGTCAAACACAACCCTGATGCAGCCCTCAATAAAATCAAGTTTGACACCCCTGTCCCAAGAGCAAAATTCTACCCAACAGAAGTCTGAAATATTGGTTTGCACTTTTCTATATTGACAAGACCTTTTTCATTATTGTATAGATAAACGTCATTTTATTGTGATCATTCCTTATTGCTGCTTTTCTTTGTGCTGCTTTTGGGATGCTTTTAGAGGAAGCGAGTGTCCCTGCTGAAAAGCTTCCTTTAAGGATTGGGGATACTTTCGGTAATTGTAAGTGGCTAGGAGCAGCTGAAGGCATCTTGCATGGATGGAAGAGGACAAGGAAGGATCCACTTTCATAGAACCAATTTCATGTTTGTGCACATTTGAAGACATTTTAATATTCCCTATATAACATTTTCTTTTTTTAAAAAAATAAGTAAACAAATTCTATTTTAACAATAATAAAAAGTCTGATTATTCAAGGGAACAAAACCCTAATGTCAGGATTACCTAAGTAACATCACCCAATGAAAGAAGACTTTGAGGCTTGAAGTTCCTCAAAGTTCCATTTTATTAGAGATTTTTTCCCCATTTTATATTTTCCCCACCCACATGTCCATCACACGGCCCAATCAGACACCGTCCCAACTGGAGATGCCTCCTAGTCACATCCTTCCAGGTGCAGGGCAAGACGCCCTTAACTCCCTGAGAAAGGAATGTTATTATGACTATATAGCTCCTGTACTCCATATAATGGCCCCTCCCATTTTCCCACAGCATTAAATATGGCAGGCTGGAAGGTCCAATGCAAAAGATGGCTTCCAGGCCTGACACCTCATTTCAGAAGGTTTCTGTTTCCTGCAGATTCATCTCTCTCTCTTTCCCTTTATCTACCAGCTTGTGAGGCTAGGAGGATAGGAGAGGTCTCTAGCCAGGCTGATTCTCTCTCTTACTTGAGAGAATCAGACAGTTTTGTTCTTCCAGAGATCCCTATGATACATTTTGAGATATTCTGCCCAGGGTTTTCCATATTTAATATAAAGCCACTGAAACCAGAGAAGATCAGAAAACTGAAGTGATCAACTTTTGAAAATCCTTCCAGAAAGCTTAGATTTTCCCACAGATTCTATCATCTATCATCTCTCTCTCTCTATCTCTCATCAAGCTATCATCTTCCTTCCTTCCTTCCTTCCTTCCTTCCTTCCTTCCTTCCTTCCCTTTCTTTTTTTCCTTCCTTCCTTCCTTCCTTCTCTTTCTTTCTTTCCTTCCTTCCAACCTTCCTTCCTTCCTCTTCCTTCCCTCCCTCCATCCATAGGAAAGCCAATTTTGGCAGTGGGGGATTGTGGTGTCATGATGCAAATTCCATTCCTTTTATATACAAATCATAACATCATATGGACATATGGAAATTTTTTTGAATCACAATAGGATTTCCTGCCTGAGGAGGGGTTGGACTAGAAGACCTCCAATGTTCCTTTTAACTCTGTTATTCTGTTATGTTCTATTTAACATTTTGATGGAAATCTGTCCATATTCCACAATCTGTTTATCATTTGACTATCTAATATCATCTATCTACATCTGTCTGTCTGTCTATCATCTATCTATCTTTCCATCTTCCTATCTATCTATCTATCTATCTATCTATCTATCTATCTATCTATCTATCTATCTATCTATCTATCTATCTATGTATCTATCTATCTATCTCTATCACTATTGTCATCATCATCTCTATCTTTCTCTCTATCCATGGCTTATAAAGATTTCAGTTTCTGAAAGTTTATGCTTCTCCTATAATGCTTTTGCTGCATCTTCAACTTTTTTTTAAAAAAAAGATGCAGACTTCATCAGAATTCTCCTTTTCTTTGTTTATTTCAATTAGAAGGATGGAAAGCAAATCAACAAAGTTTGCAATCACAGTTGGAAAATGCCAGCTGTGATGTTGTAGAGTGGCTCATCTTTGACCTCAAGTATATTGCTTTTCTGTTTGTTTAATATGGCAAGAATCTGTATATCCATAAGTCAATCCTTGTATATGATTACCTGATGATACCTTTTTAATGCCATTAGACCTGCACAGATATTCTCTCATTTTGATTTTCAAGCAAAAGTAGTACTTGAATGCAGTGCTTCTGTTACAGTAGTTTTTTTTTTAATTGCTATGTTGTAAAACTGTTTCCCAACCTTGGTCAGTATCATTGCTTTCCTCCTTTAGCACTGTTTTATTTTCATACATTTTTGTTTGTTTTCTGGGTTTTCTCCGGGATGTTAGAATTCTGAATTATCATTTCTGAAATGGGATGAAGTTCTCCATTAATTTCAGTTCCAAATATTATAGAAATTGCTTTACTTTTGACTTATTTCTCCTTTTTTTAACAATTGATGCACAGACCTTAGTATATTAAACCAGGAAATGCATCTTGATGTGGTTGTGTGACTCGCTGAATCAGCATTCTGTGTTGTGGCATGTTACTTTTGTCACACAGGAAGGGAGATTTGTATCATTTACATCAGAGGTGGTATTCAGCAGGTTCTGACCAGTTCTGGAGAACTGGTAGTGGAAATGTTGAGTGGTTTGGAGAACCAATAAATACCATCTCTGACTGGCCTCACCCCCATCTATTCTCTTACTCCTGAGTCCCAGCTGATTGGGAAGAAATGGAAATTTTGCTGTAACCTTCCTCTGGAGTGGGATGGGAATGGAGATTTTACATATCCTTCCCCTGCCATGCCCACCAAGCCACACCACGCCCACCAAACCATGCCACAGAACCAATAGTAATTTTTTTTTGAATCCCACCACTGATTTACATGAAAAGAAAATGAATCAACTTTAGACTGGAATTTTTTAAAAAAATCAGCAAAGTCAAAAGGTCTCAGTATGGTGTCTATGTCACTAATGGTCTCATAATTCCTTCCCTTAGAACTGAATCATTTTCCTTTTAAAATAGAGGTAAGGAAGAGATGTTTCTAGCAATCCAGTAAAGTTTTCTGGAGTTGGTGGTAGAAATTTTCAGGCGCCATTACAAATGCAAGTATAAAAAGATACTATTTACATTGTTAAAGAACAAACTAATCAACCCCCCCCCATCCCAGGAGTGGGCTTCAAAAATATCAGCAATGGGTTCTCTGCCCAGTTGCTGGGTGGGCATGGCCATGATGGGCGTGGCCTAGTCAGCCTCCTGCACCACAGGGGGCTGATATCAGGCTCCAGAGGCTTTCCTAGAGCCTCCAGGAGGGCATAAATGGCCTCCCCAGGCTCTGCAGGCCTTCTGGAGGCCAGAAACTGGCCTGTTTCCAGCCTTCCCGAACTTCCAGTAGGCCTGTTTTTCACTCTCCCTGAGCCTCTGCATGTGCCCTGCACTTACCTGTATCCAAAACGGGCTGTGTGGAGACTCCTGGGAGGGGCAACATGGGCAGGGCCAGCCAGGAGTTGGATTTGGGGGTTATCTGAACTGCACAGAATCTTAGCTAACTAATCTTAGTTATTACTGTAACGCGCTCTACATGGGGCTGCCCTTGAAGAGTGTTCGAAGACTTCAGTTAGTCCAGAATGCGGCTGCACGAGTGATTGTGGGTGCACCCAGATACACCCACATCACACCTATCCTCCGCGAGCTGCACTGGCTACCCATTAGTCTCCGGACCCGCTTCAAGGTGCTGGTCGTCACCTATAAAGCCCTACATGGCATCGGACCTGGGTACCTGAGAGACCGCCTCCTGCTGATTACCTCCCATAGACTGATTAGATCTCACAGGTTAGGTCTCCTCCGGATTCCATCTGCCAGCCAATGTCAGCTGGCGACTCCCCGGGGGAGAGCCTTCTCTGTTGCAGCTCCATCCCTTTGGAACGACCTCCCCGTGGAGATCCGGACCCTTACTACCCTCCCAGCCTTCCGCAAAGCCACCAAGTCCTGGCTGCTCCAGCAGGCCGGGGGGCTTGTGAAATATCCAGCCCCACAGTAACTGTGAATGTTGTGTACTTTAAGGTGTTGTCTTGTTTATTTATCCCCTTCCCTTGTTTATTGTAAGCCGCCCGGAGTCCTTCGGGAGTGGGCGGCATACAAGATCAATAAACTAAACTAAACTAAACTAGAGGGTCTCCCAAACCCCTGCGAATCCTCAGCAGCCCACCCCTGGTAACATCAATAAAATATTTTTTTTCTTCACAATATATTTATTATCGAGAATTTTAGTGTTTACTTTCGTTTTGAGATGTTACAACTCAGAAATATTTATTCACACCCATACACACCCCAAATTCCAATAACTTTAATGAAACCAAAGCTAAGAAGCATCTTAACCTAAGTGAGACTCTGACGGATAAAACATTCTTTGTTTCATCCAGTATCTCTAAATGAATATGTTGTCATCCTCCATCATTTCCATTCCAGGTTAGCCGGGAACAAAAGAGGCTCTTCTCCACTTCTCCCGCTTCAGAACTAATTGAAAAGATTGTGTTGCCCCTGAAAAAGATTGAATGTAAAATCAGATATTTTGTTAAATACAATAAGATTTTGTCCCATATGTAAATAAGGCAAAAATTATATGATTAAGCAATCAGTATTCATCAGCATTTTCCAAGATATAATTTTTGATTGTAATAGAGGAAATGCAATATGCAGAGCTGAAAATTACAATTAAATCTTTGGGCATTGTCTATTTATAAATGTTGCCGGAATAGTATGCATGTCATCCAGATGTGTCATGCCAATGTGACAGTATAATAACTTGGCTCAGTCCTTCCCTCTCAGCCCTACTCACCTCACAGAGCAGCAATTATCATGACAAATATAATTATAATTTTGGAGATCCAGACTAGCACCATAACTTGCTTAACTTTATGTTCATGTTACTTTTTATTTACTAAATTTATTTATTTAGTATTTTTAATGCCCACCCATCTCACTGATATGACGATTCTAGGCAGCTAAAATATAATAAAGAATAAAGGTAATGCAAAGCAATTAAAATTAGGGAAATTAAATATAAAGCTAAAAAGGGGGGGGCTGCCATGGGGGAAGAGATTCTCTGCTCCAAGAGCCATCCCCAACATGGCGTGGCTCTAGCAGGCTCTCAAGCCACCTCGCAGTTTTCAGACTGTTCTAGAAGGCCAGGAGTGTTGGAGTGGACCTTACTTCCAGTGAGGAGATAGGTGGTGGCTACAGCAGAAAAGACTCTGATCTTGGACCTCTTCCACCCAAAATTCTTTAGCAGGCAGGATCTAAAGTAGGCCTATTCTGGTGGAGCAAGTGGGTGGACTTGGTAAGCAGCTAAGAAGAGAACTCCTTAGATATCTTATATCTATAAAGAATATCTGGAGCCGTGGTGGCGCAGTGGTTAGAATGCAGTATTGTAGGCTAATTCACTGTTCACTGCCAGGAGTTCAATTCTGACCGGCTCAAGATTGACTCAGCCTTCCATCCTTCTGAGGTTGGTAAAATGAGGACACAGCTTGTTGGGGGCAATATGTTGACTCTGTAAACCACTTGGAGAGAGCTGTAAAGCACTAAAGAGGTATATAAATCTTAGTGTTGCTAATTGACCAGATACAAAGTTTCCACTGCTTATGGAAATCTTGAAGAAGACGTACTGGGTCACAAACATTCAGTAAAAAGAGTTTAAATGTATGACAATCATTATAAAATGTGGTATAAAATCCTTGGTGCAATTGCCTCTCTTTGCAATTGTTTTTCATTTATTTAAGCATAGCTCTCCTCCATCCTAGTTTTCTGAATATTTCTAATATTTATTCAGATTACTTATATACTGATGACTCACACTTTTTAAATTATATGTGAGAGTGATTGATTAAGAACAAGATAATGGAATTGTATTCAATAGATATATCAACCAGGCGTGTGCTCACGATGAAAAAGACAATATTTATTTCGGTGATGATGATTAAGAAAAGAATATAAAATAACTCCATGCATATTGTCATAATGTAAATCTAGGTTACAATTGTACCTGGAAAAATATGAGGGAGAGAGCAAGGGAAATCAGCGAAGGCAGTGGGGGACAAAGAATTTAAAAACAAATCATGATCAGAAAATACTGTGAACTCGAAGCAGTCCAGAAAGGAAGGTTCAAAGACAAATAGCTTCACATTGGGAAATAAGAAGCATGATTGGCATGTATCCTATCTGCTGCAGAACTCCCTAGTTGTTTCTAACATGCAGTGTTTATATGTATGCACTAAATATTTTCAATTTCCAAAGATATATTCCCAAGAATAGCCAAAGACAAGCCAAATCTTGTAGATGATCTTGCATTCCACACTTATTAAGGGGATACTATATTGAAATAATCTGTGCAGTGCCATAAATAAAATCTGATGGATAGAAGTTGAATTTTCTGTTTAAAAAGTCACCATTCAGGCAATGGAGTGTCTATCTATAAATTCCATATTCTCTACATATATATTCTCTATACAGACTATATTCTCTGTAAATATGTATTCTATATTCTCTGCATCTGAGTGAGAAGAATGCAGAATTTCATCCAGAAATGTGACTAATAGTATAGCCTTTATTGTCATTATACAAAATAAATACAATGACATTGGTTTTAGCCTCACTGTTGCAATCCATGACAACAACTACAAACAACATAAATAGTATAAAGAATAATCCCAAATTCCCAATGCAAGTAATTGGGGAGGAAAAAAAGAAAGAAAAAGAAAAACTAGTCATACGTTTCCGTGTGTGTGGAGTGGTTGTGGTTGTGTTTAATAGCCTGACAGCCCAAGGATAGAAACTATTCTTAAACCTATTTGTTTGGCTGGCTATGTTTGATATCTTCTGCACGATGGTAGAAGTGTGACGAGACATTGACCAGGATGTGAATCATCTCTGAGAATCTTCCTTACTCTGCTAAAGCAGCAAGACATGGTCATGTCCAATGGTTACTTGTGCCGAATTGATCATTTTCTGTGGTACCTTCCTGTCCGCAACAGTTAAACCAGTGTACTATACTGTAATGCAATATGTGAGGACACTTTCTATGGTGGACCAATAGAAAGAGGTCACCAGCCATTGTTCCACCTGATTTATTCGTAGCACTCTAAGGAAATGAAGTCTCTGTTGGGCCTTGCCAATCACCAGGGATGTGCTGTTTTTCCAGGTAAGATCTTGACTAATAAGCACTCTCAAGAATTTAAAAGAGGAAACACAGCCCCCCCTCAATATACAGTGGAGCAGGTTCCTCTTTGTGCTTCTGGAAATCTAGCACCATCTCCTTTGTCTTACTAGTATTTAGATGTAAGCACTACAGCTATTAATGCTCTGGAAATTTTTATAGGGAACAGGTCCATAAACATTGGGGGAGCTCTAATTTGAGCCAAGTGAAGTAATTTCTTCCTTACCTGCTTCCTTACTTTCTTTTTATATTTGAAATATGGATTCTACTCATAATCTCCTTCCCTTCCATCAATTTATGCTGCAGATAGTTTTCAACTTACAACCATTCAAAGTTACCACAACATTGAAAAGTGTGACTTACCACACCAACCCTCACACTTGTGACCATTACTGCATATGTACACTCATGGGAAGAAAACTGGAGTACTTGGCAACCAACCCATATTTATAATGGTTTCAGTGACTTGTCATCACCATTTGAGATTTTCCCAGCCAGATTCTAACAAGCAAAATCAATGGAGGGTGGGAAAACTCGATTACCATTAACTGTGGTAATTCGCTTAAATGAGCCACGGTGGTGCAGTGGTTCAAATGTGGTACTGCAGGCTACTTCTGCCGGCTGCCAGCTGCCTGCAATTTGGCAGTTCAAATCTCACTAGGCTCAAGGTTGACTCATCCTCCCCTTCTTCCGAAATGAGTAAAATGAGAACCTAGACTGTTGGGGGCAACATGCTGACTCTGTAAAACCGCTTAGAGAGGGCTGTAAAGCACTGTAAAGCGATATATAAGTCTAAGTGCTATTGCTATTAACAACTGTGGCAGCAAAGGCCATAAAATCTGGCACAAGTCACTTAACAATAACAACAAAATCTAGTCCGAACTGTGGTTGTAAGTTGAGGACTAACTTTTCTTGCCAGAGAGGTTCATATTAGCAATTGCCAATAACCAGTTTGTATTTGACTATAAACCTTTTTGCTAATATTGACTTTTACTGAAATTCAGTTCAAAGGAAATAAATTAATTAAATAAACTCTTGCTTTCCATTTGCTCCTTCTTATTGCTGCAAATCCTTTGGAATGGCCTTCAAAATGTGAGGCAGACTTGCTAGGTTTGGAATATTCCCCCCCTCTCTTTATTGACTTTTAAATAATTTGAAAATCTGTTTAAACAAAAGGGAGTCAACCATCAAACTGCTGATGGAAAGAGAATGTTTTGTGCCCGTGCCATTCTAAGTGACAGATGTTGTCCACGTGGGGGTGAGCTTACCTGTTCTTGATGTAAGGAGATTTCTGAAGGTGACTTGGAGAAAATATATTCCTTCTAACACCAAAGACTTCCTTTATTTTTTCAATGTTTAGAAATTAGAAATCTTATGCGTGAGAGTCAATTCCTCTTTGGTAATTAATGGTTCTTACAGCTGGCTGAGTGGGTGAAATAATTAATAGCACTTAAGACTTGGAGTGTGTTGAAATCCACCTCCGATTACCAAAATGTATATTTGTGCAAGGTTTATATGCAAACAGTCCCAGAATGGAGTCACAAGCAGATCACAGAGATGAATGGCACTTAGGAAGAAAAAGACCCTTTGTTGATGCTGTGCCAAGAATTTGTCATTGTGTTTCTTTCTTCCAAACTGAAAACATATGACAGCAATCATAGATGGAAGTGATTGTATATGAAGAATAATGCTCACACATCTATTCTAAGGAAAGCTGGGAAAATGTCAAAAACTGAATTTGAGAAAATATCTCTTTCTTTGGAAATATTATCCATTGCATGCATTTTCACTAAGTCTACAAAAGACTGTCAAATCATTGGACCAATTGATTCAAACTTCTTTTGACAGAGGTTGTGATGGGGGGGGGGGGATCCTCAATTGATTTTTCTTACTTAATTAGTTGGTTATCATATCTCTATCAGCTATTCTAATAAAGAGCAAAGAAAAATAGGGCTAGTTTTTCCTGTGTTTGAGAGAAGATTTCTCAGGTTTAAACCATGTTTTCAGGACTTACTGTACAATTTCCATGTGTTTCTTATCTCAAAATGGTGGGAAATAATGCCATCCTTGATCAGGAATAGGAGTTTGGAGAGATACAACAGCCCCAGAAGAAGAAGAAAAGGATTCATCTAAAACATACAGGGTAATGACCGCAACAATCACTACATAGGACAAACAAGAATGCTCACACACAAGAAGACTGTCAGAGTGCACCCATGAATACTACGTTGTCACTCTGGCGAAGTAGCCATCAATAGACACGTAGACATAAACAATAGCTACAGACTGTGCAAAAGAGACAATCAACAAGCCAAAAGGGGAACAAAAAGACCAAACTACATCCCCACCAGCAATCAACACTCAGATGAGCATAGATTAACTTCAAGATTAACATCAGAACAACAATCAAGAAGGAAACAATACTCTAATCAAGGAACTGCCAAACAAGCTAACAATAAAGAGCTCAACCAAAGAACCTCCAAGACCACTTCCACCAACAGGGAAGATTGACAGGGCAAGTCACTAGAATATAAACTGAGAGCAAAGCCCATCCCTTGCTAGATCTGATGATGTTCCATAGATAGACAGACAGAGAGGCAGGCAGACAGGCAGAATAACTGTATTGTCACTTTGAATGTACACTAATTGACATACATTAAAATGAAAATTCAGTGCATAGAGCTCTCAAAGGATCACCACCTTCAATATATACTACATAAACATAAATAAACTCAAAATTGTGCACATGCCCACGTATTATTTGACACAGAAAAACAACAGAGTCTAGTTCAGCTGTATACATATACATGGTGACAAAAACGAATCTTGCAAGTTCACCAAACAGATGGCATAGGGAACAAAGCTGTTACAGAATTTGGTAGTTCTGCTAGAAATATTTTGAAACCTCCTCCCAGAGGGGAGCAACAGAAATTCTAGAGGGGGGTCTCTAACAATGCTTTGAGCTCTAAGCACATAGCGCTTATAAGTAGTATCCCGAATAACAGGAAGCAAGCTTCCTATAATCTTCTCAGCTGTCCTTACCCCTCTCTGTATGGACTTTCTATCTGAGGCACTACAGCCACCAAACCAAACAGGGGTGCAGGTTGTTAAAATGCTCTCAATCGTGCCTCTGTAAAAAGGGGCCAGGACCAAAGGAGAAATATGTGCTCTCCTTATCCGACGTAGGAAGTGCAGGCACTGGTTTGCATGCTTCACTTATGAATGACATGTGGAGAGACCACTTCCGATTGTTCATTACCTAGTTTGAGCCATGAAATGTCTGCAAGAAAACAAGCAAGTTCAGAGACCCTTCATTTCAACCTGTGCTACAAATATTCTCCTTTATTAGGATTGGGAAGTATATGATCTTGGGACTCTTGGATGCCCATCGATGAGGATACCAGATAGGGAGAAACTGCCCTAAAGTCTATGAAAGTGATGGGATGAGGTTGACATGGTCCAACTGTCTTGGATTATCACCCCCAAGTCCACAGGGATTCTTCTTCCAGTTTCCAATACTGCCTTCAGCATAAATATGAAATGTGGCTGATCTCCTGCCTATCAGCTATTCTGAAAGCACATCGGAATAAAAATTAGAATAACTCTTGGCAATAGTGCAAAGCTTGCAAAGACACCGTTAGGATAAATTAAGTGCTTATTTATTATATTCAAATGATTTTCTTCCCTTCCCCATCGCTCATATTAATGGGAAAGAAAGCAATCTGCAGTTCCTCAAGACCTCCTTGACCTGGACGGTTCAGGAAGTGCTGATGCTTGAATGTGTTAATGGAAGAAAAGAAAAATTGCAATTCAGTTATTTTTCCTTAAAAAAAAATGCTTTAATTAGAATGTGATTTCTCATGTTGTGATCCTATTGTCCACAGTGAAAGCTCATTAAGCAACTGGCACAATTGGCTGGCTAATCCAGGGCAGCTGAGTGGAGTTCAGAAAGCTGATTGTTATGTGAGAAGATAACTGGTTCTGATTCAGCGTTATAGAACTTTACTGCATGAATGCTGCAAATTGGTGATGGAAGAAGGGCAGCAGATAAAACTGAAAAGAAACTGTTTTTTTTCCCCCTAAGCACACTTTTTCACTCTTTGAAAGGACACCCTTTCAAGCCTTTTCCTCAGGGGTGATATTCACTCACCTTTCCTATCAGTTTGCAAATGTGAGAATGCACCACCCTTCGGCCATGCACATAGCCTTTTGCACATGTGCTTTTGGTGAAAAAAGGGCCTAAATGGGATGCCATAGAGCCGGGGTGGGTGGGCAGGACCACCCACGATTTCTGCTACTGGTTTGCGTGAACTGGTCCGAACCGGTAGAATACCACCTCTGCTTGTCCTCTAGTTTCTGTGAAACTACAAGTAGTTCTGGATTTATGACTGTATTGAAGCTAGTGCCCATCATAATCGTAAATCAAGACAGTTGTATTTTATGACCTTTTTTTTTTTTTTTTTTGCACCGGTCATATAATTTTAGCTGCTGTTCACTGCCCAGAGGGACAAGTTTGAGACAAACCATATTAATTGAAGCAAAAAAAACAACAACAACCCACATACACATGCACACAATGAAGGCAAGAATTTAGAATTCTGTTTTGGAATCCTGTTTTCTTTGGATTATGCATCCTGCTATGTCTTCCTGTGTTTTCTGTCACTTGCCCTAGATCTCCACAATGTACCTTTGCCTTCGTAGTTCCCTGGGGTTTCTGGAAACTTAAGGCCTTAATCCTTCTCATTTTTGTTTAGGAAGCATTTTTACAAAGGGAAAACTGTTCATAGAAGAGGCATTCCCATCAGCTCCTCATATTCTTCATTATATCTTGTTGATATGACACGACTATAAATTTACAAAGAAGCTCAGTGATTCCTGACAGAGAGATTTGATCCTGTAATGGAAGGTAATTCCTAAAGAACATATTACTTAGTGATTGTACATATATCATTTCACCTCAAATGTTTATCTAAATCTCATAACTAGGAGAGGAAAATGGCTGATTTTAAAACAATTGGAAGCTAATTGTTTATATTTCTAGGTCAAACAATGATTAGTTGTCACATAAACATCAGGTGTTAGATGAATAAGGATTTAAATAATAACTGGGACTTCAGCTCCCAGAAACTTGTATGCTTGTTCGTGTTTAGGAATGAAGGAGAGATGCTTGAATGCCACTCAAATGCTGAGGTCAACTCAACAAATAAAGCATGCATTTAAAAAGTTATGTTTTGCAATGTGTATGGCAGTGGGAAATAGAGAGATTATTTTAAAAAGGAAAATTTCCAAAGAATATCAATGAATGAAAATTCTGGACAAATGAGATGTAAATTTTACATGGATTTTCTTTAACCAAATTCTTAATGTGATCTGGAAGTGGGACCAAATGACAAATGTTATGAAACTGACTGATTTGTCCACCGAAAGATAATTTCCCCAAATTTTAGAAATTATAACAAGAATACTACAATATTGTCCACAAAGGATTATTTAATAATGCACTCATTGTAAACACAGTAGTAGATTTTTATTACGTTTCTTATACTCCATTTTTCCTGCAATACTCTAACATGGCTTCCCTTCTATAAAACTATATAGACACTCCTCATGTTACAATGACAATTGAGACTGGGATTTCCATCACTGAGCAATGTGATTGTAAAATGCCTATGACTGAATTGCTTAGTGACAGCAATCCCAATCACTCTCATGAGGCCCATTTCGGTTGTTAAGTGAGAAGAGGCAGAAGTCCCAGGCAAGCAGGCTGGTGGGTGAGGGTGTAGGTAATCCAGGATGGTAAGGAGATACTAAACATGGTTGCTATAGAGTACAGATGAGCATGTGAGGGTAGGGTGGAATACTTTACACCTCCCTTCCCTTAGTGTCAATGGGGAGGTGGGTGCTGCCGGCAGACAGTATGGATTCAGACAGACAAAAAAGAAAAAAAAATAGTTACTTCTGACTTCCTGCCAGCTTCTCCATTGATTTTGCTTCTGGGAAACTGGCAGGGAATGTCGGAAATCACATTCGTTGAAGTGTCATAATCATAAACTGGACACAAAGCAATAGCAATACCACTTAGACTTATAGGTTTCATAGTGCTTCACAGCCCACTCTAAAATGGCTTACAGTCAGCATATTGCTCCCAACAATCTGGGTTCTCATATTACTGACCTCAGAAGGATGGAAGGCTGAATCAACCTTGAGCCGGTGAGGATCGAACTCCTGGCTGTGTGAAGAATTAGCCTGCAATACTGCAATTCTAGCCTGCAATACTGCAATTCTAACTACCACAGAGTCCTAGATTCATGCAATCATGTGATTGCAAGAACATTGAAATGGTTGGAACTATGGAACTCATTGGAATGGTGTGGCTTAGTTATAAGTCCCCACATTCAGCGCTACTTGTAACTTTCAATGATCCCTGAATGAGTGGACTTAACTTATATGTGGGAAGATACAATTGCCAGGGTTCTGAGTAATGCATCCAAGGCAGGTAGATACCTCAAAGGATATGTTTATTGGATACATCATATCGGCACAGCTGGTGAAAACTAACTCTGACAGTTCCACGGTTTTCACCTAATTAGAAGAATCAAACTCTCCCCCCCCCCAGGTATCACAGGTCACATTATCCAATGAAGATGGAAGGCAGGTGCTTCTCCTCTTTCAATGGTCACCTGTTTCAATGACCTTGGTTCCCACTGGAAAGAATTTTGTTTTGACTGGAACCTGGACTATCTCCACCCTTCCCCCTCTCAGGCTTCGTGGCAACTATGAGGCAGCACAGGATGGCTTCAGCCAGGTTCACTACAAAGTTGACAAAAGTTATATACTGTAATACATAATTCCTATAATATATGATAAGTAAATGTATAATTCTCTATATAAGAAGTAGTTACCTCTTCATTCACTGAAAATATTTCTTGAGGATTGCAGCTTCAATTGCCATTTCTTCCTCAGATCTCCATTTGCTGGGGGAATCTTCGGCCTCTTTGTCATGACGCTGAAGCTTAATAGGAAAGAAGAAAGGGTTATTATTTTGTGGGGGGGAAGTAACTGAAACCATGAATATTATGATAATAAAGGGTGGTGTTTTTAGCCTGTTCTTTGATTCCAATAATTTATTTCTGATTTTTGATTAATTGGGAAGATTTCAAATTCTGGAACTTCACCCTCTCAACTTCCTCAGCTTTTAGTTCCTCCAACTCATTTACCTTATACACAACATGTATGTATACATGTACACAATGTTTTCTGCAGGGTGGGTTCCGGCTGCCATTACTACCAGTTCAATAGAAAAAAAATGCGCTCCCCACGCATGCGCATTTTCATTTAAAATGATCTGCACATGCAACATTAAAAAATGAATAAAAATTACATCATTTTAATGAAGATTGTTCTGCGCATGTGCAGAACAGAAAATCAAGATTAGCGCCATCGAGGATAGAACTGGTACGGTCCCGTGTCCACCGGAGTTACTACCTATTTGGCCGAACTGGACCGGATAGGTAGGAACCCAACTCTGGTTTTGTGTAAAAGAAGAACCAGGAGACAAAAGCAAAAGCGAGTATATACTGTACCTAGTATTTCTGTAATATATAGAAAGAAACAGTGAATATTTCCTAATGCATCTATTACAGAAAGAAGACCAGACACCTCAGAAATCTAATACTTGAGAAGCAATTTAAGGCAAGGAGAACTTCAGAAGCATCTCCATGTGTGACATGATCAACGTATCTTAAAGCAACCAGAAGGATCACAGAGGAAACCATTTTTCTAGGAGAAGCCTTCTCTGACGGTGGGTCTTAACCTCATTCTAGGCTGAGGCTTACAATTTAATAAAGCTTTTGTTATAGGTCAAATGTGGTCATCCTATTACAGTTGAATCAGATACATGGAGGGCTGGAAATAAAATAAATGGATTGTGAGAAAGAGAGAGTGAAATCATCCTTGTTGAGAAAAACTCATCCATTCCCAAAGATTGGGGGCGGGGGGGGGGAGATTAAAAAAAGGGAAAGGTAAATGGAAGCAGTAACAGTTTACATTTCATGTTCACTCAGATGTAGATCTTACTCATTCCATCTTTCAGTGTTAGTGGATTTCACTCCTCTTAAATGTATTTTCGACTGAAGCCTTCAACAACAATCACAATATACAACTCATTCTTATCCCCCCCTAATCCAGGCATCTATAAGCACATCTGGCCTCGATTTTTAGTGTCTGAAACAAATAATAGAATGCCAGGGTTGGAATGGATCTTGGAGGTCTTCTAGTCCAACCCCTGGTGCTTAAATCCTGCCTGTGGGATCAGCCTGGAAATATCAAAGGGCCGGGCCATGGTGTCTCTGGTGGTTAAATAGGATGCACCTCATTTTCACCCTCCATGGTCTCCTGCAGCACTCTGCCAGCCAAAAACGGCCCAAAAAACGGCCCAAAAACAGGCCAGAAATGGCCAGAAGAGTGCTGCAGAAGGCTATGGAAACGAGGTGAAGGGGGGGCGCACAAGTACCCCACACACCAGGGGGTGGGTTCCGGCTTCTGTTACTGCACTAAGTGTACATGTGCAGAAGTAAAAAAAAATGCTTCTGTGCATGTGCAGAAGCAAAAAACAAGATGGCAGTGCCTACGGTGTCGCCAATAGAACCGGTTCCGGCGCATGGCCAACTGAGATACTACCTACTCGGCCAAACCAGTAGGAACCCACCTCTGCTCTGCACCCTGTTTTGGCCGTCATGGTGCTGGAGGAGGCATCTGTCCTGTGCCCACCCTCCTCTCTGCCTGCCCATGGAGGAGAACTACAATGCTGATCTGGCCCTCGAAGAAATCCAGGTTGACACCCCTTTCCTGTATCATTTCAGACAAATGGTTGTCTAGTCTCTCCCTAGAAACCTGCAGTGTTGGAGCACCCACAACTTCTGGATACAAGTTGTTCCACTGATTAATTGTTCTAGGTTGGTTCTCTCCTTGTTTAGTTTCTATCCATTGATTTATGCCCTGCTTTCAGATGTCTGGAGAATAAGTTGACCTCCTCTTCTTTATGGCAGCCCCTTAGATATTGGAACACTGCTATCATGTCACCCCCTAGTCCTACTCCCTGTCTCCTTCCATGCAGAGGAGAAGATTGATCAAAGCAACATTTCTAATCTCATCTAGATAGCATTTCCCAAATTTGGCAACTAAAGTTACCATCTAAGCTGGGGAATTCTTGTGGTTGAAGTCCACACATCTTAAAGTCGCCAAGTTTTAAAACACTGATTAAGATGGACAGTTGGGCTTGAGGAGCTGCCTATCATTCACAATTCTCACAACCCCCTACAGCTTTCAATATGACTTTGCTCAAGAGACTCATGGGAAGCTTATAACTGTGGCCAAGAACACCATTTAGAAAAAGCAGATCCTTTGCCAAGGAGCTTCTAAATCTGTGCCTCCATGTTGCACTGCAGAAGCGTGTCAGAAGCAACTAGCGCTTCTGGGTTGAGGGGAATAGCTGGTGACATCACTGTTGCCCAGGAGATGCCCCAGGGGGCTCCTGTCATGTCACCGGCAGAATCTGGAGTGAAAGACGGGAGCTCATACAACCCTATGGCAGCACTTGGTTCTCAAACATGGGCTTGATAACCTCTAACTCGGCGTCCTAACCACGCAAGCCACTGTGCTCCTTGCCTCCATGTTATTTCCTCTAATTGTACATTTCCACTTTGTAAGTGCTTGTTAAATCCTGGGCAAGCTGTTGATTTGGGAGATGACAGTAATTTTGTATATTTTTGAACTGGGACTTTCTTGCTGCAAAGTGGAAGAAAGAGTGAGATTGCTTTGTGTGGATGAGTTAATGAATGACATATTGAACATCCCTGAAGCTCTAACGCAACAATGACAACAACAAGTCTGCCATACCACAATGTTATCCGCTTTAATAAAACAACTTAAAAACCGGCTGTCAACTTTACTGGCAACTTCACACTGGGGGGTATGGAGGGGAGGCCGGGAAGGGAGGAAGTGAATCCTTTTCTCCCAAAGAGAAATATTCAAAGACTGTTGTCTGTTTACAAGTGATCAAAAGTGACAGTTGGTGCTTATTGGTGGAGAAGCTTTTTCTGCTTAAAGCGAAACAGGAGGCTAATTTATCAGGAAAGCCAGGAAGCCAAACTTCGGTAATGATCTGCTTAAAGAAAAGAAGATTTTAGAAGGATATTTGTACCACACAATAAGGATTTGAAGCAAAATGGCAGTAAGGTGCGTGTTTTTTAAAAAAAAAAAAATCTGCCTTGATGCTGAGCAAAGTGTGAATTTTTTTCTTGACAATTTAGATTCCCAAAGCTGAAATAACACCAGCCAGAATGGCTAGAGAGTTTTTAATTAATTTCTAACAGCACAACAGGTCAAAGTTCTCTTATATTTATCCTTGCTTTAAAGATCTTTAAAACAGTGCTGTGACCTTAGAGTTGCTTTTATTAAAAGTTTCTTTTTTAGAAAGATTGTGTGCATTGCACACAGAGGTCTCGGCTTTCCTTTCCCAGCATTTTCTCCTTTTTGTCCTGTATCTGCTTTAGATAAAAACTAACATCACAAACACCTCTCCAATTGAGTGAGGTGTTCATTGAAGAAGCTGGAAATGAATAATTATGTCAAAGAAATTGGATAAAGGCAGCATTCTAGAGATTAGAATATAGGCTACAAAACCAAGTTGAAGAATCAATTGTTTCCCTTACAGAGTAGTTGTAGCTTCATCAAAGATCAAATGCATTTAAAAGTTAACAGCAGCATTATGAGAAGATAAATTGTCTTGGGGTTAGATTTTAATACAGAAAACACAGTGCTTTCCCTTTTATATATATATATCTATATATATATCTATATCTATCTATATCTATCTATATCTATCTATATCTATCTATCTATCTATCTATCTATCTATCTATCTATCTATCTATCTATATCTATATATCTATATCTATATCTAT